CATATATCTAACAGTATTTGGATAAATAAAAACAAAAAAAAAAACTTCTCATTTCCCAGGAAAATATGGTACAAAACAGTATTAAAATGGTACTATATACATGCAAACAGAGATACAATAATTAAGAGTAGTGGTACAGTGATCATTTACACCTTATTTTTTTGTTTTAGCGTGAATAACACATTACATAACTTAATAATAGCATCAATTTCGTATACATAAACAAGAAAGAAGATATTTTGATCAATTTAATTGATTTAGGGTTAACATGAACAACAATTTTCAAAATTCAATCCCTAACAAATTAACCAAATATATACGAATTAAACATGATTTTTGGACTCCAAAATGCTCATATAATACATATATTACTTGCTACTTCAAATTTTGGCCGGAAAAAGCACGAATGTTGCCGGAAAAAAATGAATTTTTGGCCGCACAAATTTACGTCAGAATCACTTGTTTGGTCGTATTTATTGTTGCCGGAGTTCTTCTCGCCGGATTTGGGTCGCCGGAGAGACCGACCTGCAAAAAAAAAAACAAAAAAGCACAGAAGCAGTCGCCAGAAATGGAGGAATACGGGAGGGAGGTAGATATGGTGTGGAAGAAGATTGAACAAAAATGAATAAAATACTAATATGTGTAATGGTTGGTGGAAGAGAAAACAAATAAAATAATATGTTAGTGGGATGATGTAATAAATTATTGTATTTTTCAATTAATTTCAACATTAGGGAGTTAGGAGGAAGAAAATTAAGGAATTGGGGAATTGAAAGGAAAAATTAAAGGCATAGGGACTGAAGAAGAAAATGAAAAAGGAAGTAGGGATTTTAGGAGAAGTTTAACACGATTGAGATTCTATTTTGAAATAAGTTTATATGTAAAGGGATAATATTCGATACCTAACGTTGACATTTAACCATAAACGGCAATGAGTGGTTGAATATCTTCTCCGTCAGCCATTGTGATTATCTTACAAAGGTATAGAGCAACTGATTAATCTGCGAAGAAACACACAACAATACATATATCAAATTCCACAACATAATTTACAAGAGCTTTTTGTGAAAAAATATATGTTTAGTATGAATAGCACGAAATGCTGGCCAAGAGTCACGATTAATGTCTGTCGCATGCTCTTTTACACCAAAACAAATTGGCCGAAGGATAATGAGATTGCCAAGTACTTACATAAACAAAAAAATTCACCAAATAATGTTAGGTCGACATCTTGTAATCACAAAATATTCCCGTATAATAATAACTAAAAACAATAGAAATGACCCTCCAGGATGACTTCATCACAGCCGAATGGTGCACTATGACTTAGAGATAGTGAGTAAAATTGCAGATACTGAGAAATTACCATGATGCATTTAGCATGGTTCAAGTAATCCTGCACTCCATCCCAAAGCTCATCTGGATGGTTTTGTAATTGACTTTGTATCCAACTGATCACGTAAGAGTTCACAACATTACCAAACAAAGCTAAACCATGTCAGAAAGAAATAGAAGAAGTCCACTACACTACTACAGCACAGCTCAAGTATCGATATAAATCACAATACTCACAAACTTCCAATTTATGACACATAACATAGCAGAGAAAGCAAGCAAAAGAACATGAACTGATACAAATAAACCCCAGATGATTATACAATATCTAACTTTCAAACGTGTGGTACTGCCAACAGCATTCCAGTTAAACATAAAGACACGATCTTAGGAACAGAAAACTTTTTGCCAACTTAAGCATGACAGTGTCAAATTCCCAGCACACAAAATTTCAATGTTCGCAACTCCACCCTGCTACAAATAATTCCATCCATCTAAGATAAGCTGGGGTCAACACAAAGTACAAGCATTACACAAAACTGATGGCCACAGTTCAATAATTTGAACCTAAAGTTCTGCAGTCCACCCCAGAACGAAGAACACATTCACTACAGCTAACTCAAGAAACTCAAATAACTAGCAAAATCAGTACTCCAAGCATTAATAATTTAAATAAAAAAAAAAACAAATGAGTGAGTGAGTGAAAAGTTAAAAGCAGTAAGAGACCTCGCAAACTGGATATTGAGAGCTCTCACATGCCAACTTGATGATTTAGCTCTCGGTGCATCCAGTGGCAGCTGCCGGATAGATGTTTCTGCTTTGATGGATCAAGTTGAGACCCCATTACTTCTATCTTCCTCTGCGTCTGCACAGCTACATAACCTTCAACACACACATTGACAAAGAATAAAAATATCAATCGCACCCGCACACACACACACTTACGAAGGTGTCGTTAAAATTGAAAATGGGGGTAGGGTCTTAGATTTCCGTACGATTCATGCTGGTTTTTCTTTGTGTATTGGGAGGCGTATAGTTTCTAGATTTAAATTCTTTTATGTCAAATTATGCAGAGACCCAAACCCTATCCAGTACGTATCTCAAAAATAAGAATAAAAAGAAATTGAAGTCCTCTTTATTATATCAATTAACTTACCTATTAAGTCTAACTGAAAATATAAAATTATATATCAACAACAACAACAACAACATACCCAGTATATTCCCAACTGGTTGGGGTCTGGGGTCTCTGTACTCTGACCTTACCTTTGTAATTATACAAGGAGGCTGTTTCCATAGCGACCCAAGGTGCATTATATAAGACGGATAGATTGTACAAGTCAATAGTACTATTTCAAATATAAATAATAATAACGTGTTAAATTAAAACTCCTCTTTCATACTTCTTTTTTTTTTTAGAATTTAACCATGTTTTAAATATCGTACCGTACCGGCCGGTAATACCGGTAATACTGGATACCGGTCATTGGTACGGTACAAATACACTCAAAATACCAGATTTACGGTTATACCGGTTTGTACCGGGATCATACCGTAGAAACCGCAAAATACCGGTCCAAAATACCGGTTAATTTAAAAAAAATAAAAAAAATTTAATTTAAAAAAAATAAAATTTAAATTGGTAGTTAAAATATTTTATTTATATCTCATTGAAAAGTTGAAATTAATGATTATGGTCATTTATTAGTTTACTTTAGTGCATTTGGTATTATATATTTGTATGTATATTTATATTTATTATTATATTTGCTAATCCAGTAATACCACCGATATTACCGGTCCGACCGGTAATACCGCGTACCGGTGGCTAGACCGGTATGACCACCGATACGGTATTTAAAACACTGGAATTTAAGTATAAATTTATTACCTAGCAACCGTGTAATTAACGGTTGTTGTGCTACTTAATAAACCAGTATGTACCACGCGCGATGCAAGGGACGGAAATATTAAATGAGTTATTTTCATAGGCTCTGTCCGTTTAAGTTAAAAACTAATAGGGTTATCATCTATTTTTCACCTCTTTTGATCAGCGTTGAACCACTTCAATTTTTCGGGACAGTCTACAGGGAACAGAGCCGGTCCTATAAATTATGAGGCCGTGGGCCAACTATAAAAATAATGCCTCAAACACTTTGTTTTTTTCATTTTTAAGAAATAAAATATACATTTTAAATAATATCAACAACCATCCGACGTTCTTTTTATAAAATAAAATAAAATAAAATAAAATAACAATTTATAAAATATTGTAACCCCTCAACAAAGCTAAAAACAAGTAAAATGTTATAGAAAATTTATATTGTGTAAAAAAAAATAATAATGTCTTCACAAAGCTAATATTCCAACATCCTTTTTGTAAAAAAATAAAAATAAAATTACAATTTATAAAATATTACAACCGATAAGGCTATAAACAAGTATAATCTAGTAGAAATTTTATCATGTGCACAAAAGATAATATTTTAAGACACTTTCACCTTGCAAAAAAATAATGTCACCTTGCAAATGATAAGTACTACACACAAATGACAAACCTAAATTGCAACAAAAACAATATCTAGTCTTTGTTTTAATACTTTCCAAAGCCATATAACAAATCAATTTCCCTAAGCCAACTCCAAGGATCAAAAACCCAAAACTCGATACGAATAAAAAAGAGTATTGTGTGCTAATGTCGCTTTCTATATGAAATCACAAACTAAATTTCCCAGAAAATAAAGATAAATTGAAAAATTCATCAACATGACAACACAAATCCAAATCACAAACACCACATCTCAGTACCTTTTTCCAAGAATAACACCAATGAGTCAATGACAATAAAAACAACTAATCTAGTAGTTTGGTTAAAGGGATTTTTAACTGATCTATCCTCCCAAAATAGATAAAAGATTCAACATATCAAAATTGTTGGAAGTAACAATTTTGTTGATGAGTGATGATTGATTTAAGTAGATGAAATACCAACAAAAAAAAGGGATTGAAGCTGAATTTAAAAAACAAAATTGAAAAGACCATTTATAATCAACTTTACAGCTGGAATTTCGGAATGAGAGTCAATAGAGATATACTAATGTTTTCGCTGTTGGGAAGATGATAAGTCGGAGACAAAAAGTCGGCTTTCTTGTTCGCTGAGTCTTCATTAATTTGGGGCTTTTATTTATTTATTTTTTTATTCATCTTGAGATGTTGGTATTTGGCAGCAGTAAGGTGAGTCACGCCTTTAAGGCTTCATGCGTGTGTAGTGGATTGAGAATGAGAATTTGGGCTTTTATTTACATTTAGTTGGGCCCAATACAATGCAATAATAAATAGTAATGTTGTAATAGTGCATAACTGGTGCCCCTTTTTTCATTTGGGCCCTGGGCCACTGCCCTGGGCCTGGGCCGGCTCTGACAAGGAATCTCCATCCTAAACTCACAATTTGAGGTCATTCTAGGAGGATTTTGTATTGTGGACATAGGCATTGAGCTCTTGAAATTAATTTCATAAGAAAATACAAGCAAGTGATAACTTGATTAAAAACGCAACAAGCATACAAACCTTATAATATGGCTAACCATAAAAGTGGACATAAGCCGTGATAGATTAACCAGAGAATTAACAGCTTTATTGACGATCGTTTAATCATAAAGACCTTATCACCCCTTACCTCCATCAGGTACATTTGATGTAACAACATTGGCATTTCCAATTCTTGGAACAGAAATCTCGCTTCCTGAGACCATGAGCACAAAACAGTATCAAAAATTAAGCAAGATGATCACAGTTTTCAAACACATCGTCAATTATGGAGGGTAAAGAACCAAAGCGTATAATTTAAATACACCCTCAACTGAACTAACATCATTTATCGATAGAAAAAACCAGTACGGAATTCTTTTATTGAATGGGAAAAAGTACTTTTAAATCACCCACATATGGGAACCCACTATGCAGTGGAAATAATGATACAAAAAGAGACTTAAGATATCATGAATTAGAGCGAACTAATGATACAAAAAGAGACTTGAGATATTATGAATTAGAGCGACTATGGTAGCTACTCCGTAAATATTCTATATTGGAACATATTCATACTTGAATAACTTGCAAACACATACATCAAATCTTGTAATAAATATTTAATTTCACAATGCACCATTTGCGATTGCATGCAGTAGATACACGCTACATAGTGAATATATATATATATATAAAATTTGTTATACACTCCATCAATTATAATGAAATAATACCTCCAAATGTGAAAGGGCCATTATTATAATAGAGACATGCAGGTCTCCATGGGGTAGGAATCATAGGTTTGTCCGAAAACAATGTCGGACGAAACAATTTATAACTGCTTTTGTCAATTAGAGGCTTAGTCCGAGCATCTTCAGATGGAATCTTGGCTATACCCATTCGTTTCGGGGCAATTTTTGTCAACCAATTGACAGCAACACCAAAACTCTCCTACAATTGAAGACAAGTCAGTACGCTAACAGTAAACTACATGAAGTTATATTTGTACCTAAAAATTTAAGTCCTCAAAATTTGTGTCCTCACTCATTGTGATGTATCAGTGAAAGGGATGCCAAAAAGAATAATGATTAATTCACTAATCTGAACATGTGCTCCTAGATAGAGGTTGGATACAGAGAGAGAGAGAGAGAGAGATAGAGAGAGAGAGATTTTACTCGGGCCACTACATGCCGTGGACCTTCGCACTTCCACTAGAAAGCATTAGACACCTCTCATATAATCAATCATTTGATAACACGTGAATAACTGACGGAGCCACTCATGGTCAAAAACTACTCAACAAATAGTGGTAGTGATTCTAAAGGATTCATATCGGATAACACAATCCCATGAGGATGGCAGGGTCAGTATTTTATGGTGACTAGCAGTACTAATAATTAAATTTAATGTTTGTTTAAAATTCCAATAACATCTCCTTTACAAGAGCATTTTGTGAAAAATATATGTCTAGTATAAATAGCACCAAATGCTGGCCAAGAGGCACAATCAATGTCTGCCGCATGCTCTTTTACACCAAAACAAATTGGCCAAAGGATAATAAGATTGCCAAGTACTTACATAAGCAAAAAAGTTCACCAAATAATGTCAGGTCGACATCCTTGTAATCACAAAATATTCCCATATAATAACTAAAACTATAGAAATGACCATGTAAGAGTGCACAACATTACCAAACAAATCTAAACCATGTCAGAACGAAATAGAAGAAGTCCACTACACTACTACAACACATCTCAGGCATTGATATAAATCACAGTACTCACAAACTTCCAATCTATGACACAAAACATAGCAGAGAAAGCAAACAAAAGAACATGAACTGATAAAAATAAACCCCAGATGATTTTATAGTATCTAACTTTCAAACTTGTAGTACTGCCAACAACATTCCAGTTAAACATAAAGACATGATCTTAGGAACAGAAAACTTTTTGCAACTTAAGCATGACAGTGTCAAATTACTGAGGTCAACCCAGCACACAAAATTTCAATGTTCGCAACTCCACCCTGCTACAAACAATTTCATCCATCCAAGATAAGTTGGGGTCAACACAAAGTACAAGCATTACACAAAACTGATGGTCACAGTTCAGTAATTTGGAACAAAAGTTCTGCAGTCCACCCCAGAACGAAGCACCCAGTCACTACAGCTAACTCAAGACACTCAAATAACTAGCAAAATCAGTACTCCAAGCATTAATAATGTTAAAAAAAAAAATGAATGAGTGAGTGAGTGAGTGAAAAGATATAAGCAGTAAGAGACCTCGCAAACTGGATATTGAGAGCTCTCACTTGCCAACATTCAGCTCTCAGTGCATACAATGGCGGCTGCCGGATAGTTCTTTTTGCCTTGTACGCATCAAATTTAGACCCCATTAGTGCTATCTTGCTCTGCGTCTGCACAGCTACATAACCTTCAACACACACATTGACAAAGAAAAAAACATATCAACCGTATGCGCGCACACACACTCACACTCTTACGAAGGTGTCATTAGAATTGAAAACGAGGGTAGGGTCTTAGATTGTCGAACGCTTCCTGCTGGTTTTCTCTGTGTATTGGGAGGCGCATAGTTTCTGGATTTAAATTTTTTTATGCCAAACTATGCAGAGGCCCAAACCCTATCCAGTACGTATCTCTAAAAAAGAATAAAAAGAAATTGAACTCCTTTTTTTTTGATACATAGGGTTCCAGCCCCACTATACAGAGTTGCAGTCAATCCCTAGCCCTAATCCCCGGCCCCACAGTGAGAGCTCCTCTTTATTATAATAATTAAATTACCTATTAAGATTAACTGAACATTAATAAAATTATATATCAATATTTAAAAAATTATAAAATTAATACTATAATATCTGATTTGATCTTATTTGAAAACGTGTATATAGAAGCAATTAAGGCATATATATTCAAAAAGTTTCCAAAAAACGATAAAAAAAGAGATTTGCATTAATTGCTCCCAAAATTTTTTATTACTATTTTTAGTAAATGGTTATTCTTATTATATAGATAGACAGATTAAACAATAATCCCACCAATTTAACCACTCGTTTGTCAAAATGTGGGCTTTCGGGGGCTAAATGCTTGGATATATTTTTTTTTTTGTTTGAATTTTTTAGTTTAATTTGATTAATTTTCAAAAAGTAGTATAATTAATTGTTAGTGGGTATACTAAAATACCATTTTAAATAAAATAATTAAAGTTGATTTGATGTAAAAATAGAAGAGATATGATTTGAAGTGATAGTTAGTTAAAATAATATGAATGGATGAATAGTGAATTAAGGTTAATGTAGTGTGTAAGAATGATGACTGGTATTATTTAATTATATTAATAATATTGATTATAGTGAAGTTGAGTTAAAAAATTAGTTGAGTTAAAAATATTTGTATTTTTTTGAAAATATTTGTATCCAAGCATCTTCTAAGAGCCCGCCTCCTCAGCAAGTATTGACGGCTCTAAGGACGAACGGACAGATAAGAGAGGGTGCCTATCCCACAATACACTATTACGAAAGTTGGAGTAATTGTTCGGGCTTGACATACATGCACGAGAAAGAAAGTTTACAACTAGCTAAGGTGCAGGTCAACCATCAACAAAACCCCATAAACCCCATCTAAAGTAGATGATTTTCTTCTTACCCAAAAGGCGGTGTTAGAAATACAAGTCTGGCTTGCTAAATATTGTACTAAAAGTTCCACATATACATTCACCATAAATATCTAAATCATAAGAAGCATATTCTTACAGGCATTTTGAGCAAGGAGTGGTTTGAATCTCCACTCTTGAAGGACTGGATAGCCACCAATGGGGTGGTAGACCTCGACTTGAATAGTTTGCACAGGGGCACCATCTTCCTCAGCAGTCAAAGTCAAGAAGAACACACAGGGCATGGCCAGGACAAGGACAACCCTCTCGACTTTCACAAGCTTATAACTGAGATCACAAGCCTCAATGCTTGACATGGTTTGCTTGTAATAGAAAATATGTCAAGAGAATCAACGCCAGTTAACAATAGCACCTTACAATTAAATATATACACTTACCAAGTTTGAAAAAGTAATTTATGTCTAATACAAAGTATAACTCCAGAGCAAAAATGAATATAAATAACATTACGAAACATAGATTTTCGTCATGTCAGCAACCGAAGCGTGAGAATTTGACACTTAGTCTCAACATGTTTTGAATTAATATATAGGGAGATTATATAATCCTTCTTTTAGTAATATGATTCCATAATACATCTGGTAATATATATATATATATATATATCATGGTTTTAAATAGCGCGCTATAGCGGCGCTATAGCGGCTCAGATCAGCTAACGCCAAGCTATTGCTGTTTTTGCCGCTATTCGCGCTATTTGGCGTCAAATAGCGCCGCTATAGCGCCAAATAGCGCGAATAGCGGCAAAAACAGCCTGGCGCTACTATGCCATAGCGGCGCTATAGCGCGGCCATAGCGGCGCTATAGCGCTATAGCCCGACGCTATTTTCCATAGCCCGCGATCAAAAACCATGATATATATATATATCATATATATACCATATGTTATTTTTTTTTTTTTTTGGTACAGGGACCTTCCGGTTTCCGGATCCACAGGGGAACCGACTAATTCGAAATCGAGCCGGGTAGGACCACAAGGGCGGCAAAGCTCTCCCTCAAGAGTTTTTAACACTGCTGCATTCCTAGGGCTTGAACACGAGACCACTGGTTAAACTGGAAGAGACCCAAGCCATCTCATCTAAGTGCTCTTGGGTATATACCATATGTTATTAACAATAAATTAAGAACTTAAGTAAATAAATAAAAAAGAAAATCTTTAATATATTTTGTTTGTATACCAAGAAAATTTTCTAAAAAACACTTAGGTTTGTCGGACGATTTGAAATCTATATATTACTAAAGAGAAGATTCTCTATAAATAAACCTATGAAATTTTCCCACGCATTTTAATATCTTTTTATAGCAATTCTTTTTTACTAATAAAAAAAATAACATTAATAATATAATATGATAAATATATAATGATTTTTTTTTGGTACAGGGACCTTCCGGTTTTCGGATCCACAGGGGAACCGACTAATCCGGAATCGAGCCGGGTAGGACCACAAGGGCGGCAAAGCTCTCCCTCAAGAGTTTTAACACTGCTGCATTCCCAAGGCTCAAACACGAGACCATGAGCCGGGTAGGACCACAAGGGCGGCAAAGCTCTCCCTCAAAAAATTTTAAGACTGCTGCATTCCCAGGGCTCGAACACGAGACCACTGGTTAAGCTGGAAGAGACCCAAGACATCTCATCCAAGCGCTTTTGAGTATGATTTTTTTAACAAGTATATTTTTACCGAATTCAAATCTTTTCAATTTACTAAGTCAAAATGTTGAAGTTTCTATAATATACTAATATTAGTGTTTTTAGTAATTTTTTATCAAATAAAAATATATCATAACTAATAATATATACTTATCAAAATCTACATTTTTTCCTCTCTCTTGCGTAAATCTTCAAATCTTGTTCAAAAGAATGAAAAGAAATATATGATGAGTTCGACTTTTAGTAAAGTGCCTATAAGGTGCAGATTCAATCTCCACCGACCCATCAAAACTCTAAAATAGATGAATCCTCTTCACATGTACGTGGAAGAAGTGTAATAACCAATATGTCTTGTTTAGACGTGGCCATTTCACGAGCTGCGACTCGACCCGGCCCGACCCGGCCTGCCGGGTCGGCGGGCTTCGGATGATGGCCCTTAACTGGCCCAAAAAATATGGGTCGGCCCATTAAAACGGACCTGAACCGTCGGGTCACCGATGCCGGTTTTCGGCCAGTAAAAGAAAAAATACAAGAGTGCCCGTCCTTCGACCCACGGGCTGACTTGGCCCGAACCGTAAAAAACTAAGAACCAGAACCGACAAGCATGTCTAAGGTTCCGGTTCAACGCACCGGCAAAATCCGGGCCGAGCCGACGGGCCAAGTAGGCTCGTGGCCATGTCTAGTCTTGTTCCATCTACCCAGATTTGATAACAAGTCAACATTGCGACTATCCTAATCCGAGTATGGTACAGAAACTTTCGAGGGGGCATTCAACTATGTCATTAATTATGGTTTGTTACCAAATCCAGAATACCAGATAGAACAACAAGACAGATGGGGTGGAGACCCACCAATGTGTTGGAAAAATCAGTTGTAAAACTTGGGTTTGACCCGGTTTTGACTGAATTTTT